GGTTTGTTCCTCTCTGCCTTGAGATTGCCTTTGGGGGATGACACACTGACAGCCCTTTCCCTCCATGTGGCTCCCGTAGCCCTGGAGTAGAGGTTCTCCTTTTGCTACAGTACCTACAAAAGCTGCAACCCGAGTGTGGGGCCTGGCCCTAAATAAGCAAGTGGCAATAAGAGATGGGTGGCTAATAGTTACCATGTGGTTAGGCAGAGGTCGGCCTCCTGGTTGGCTGGGACTGAAGAAAGGTGCCCCCCTCAAGAAGATCAGGGCACAGTGGGCAAATGAAGGGTGTGTGATTGAGGATAGGAGACTGGGAAAAGAGCAACCTCTCACCTCAGGGACTGGCTGAGGGAGACTGGGGAAAGAGCAACCTCTTACCTCAGGGACTGAGGTGGCCTTTATCTTCATCTTCGGCCAGGCTGAGGGAGACTGGGAATGCAGTTACTGTTATGAAGCTAAGATGTAGGGTCCACCAAAAAAGAAGGAAAATGGAGTTTGGGCTACATGGAAGGAGTGGACTGGCTATTTGAAGAATCAGGGAGGCACTTATCAGGAGAGTCTGTTCTCTAACAGTCTTCTCTTAAGTGAGGCCACATCACTGCCCCTAGCAGGTTAGTAGCCTCTTTGAGTCTGACATGTTAGAAGTACGAGAACCTGCACCTGTAATCCCAGGAAGAGACAGGAATCTGTCTATTCTAGGCCAGACAGTACTACACAGTGAGACCCTGTCTCAAATACAAAACAAAAGGGACAGGAGAGATGGTTCGGCAGCTAAGAGCACTGGCGTTCTTCTAGAGGACCCAGGTTCAATTCCCAGCATCCACATGGCGGCCCACAACCATCTGTTAACTCCAGGCTCAAGGGATCTGATACCTTCTGGCCTCTCTGGGCACCAGGCATACATGTAGTACACAGACTCGCAAGAAGGCAAAAATACCCATACACATCAGTTTAAAGAAGGGGGATGTCAGAAAACCTGCAGCTGGGGGGAAAGGAGATGAGGTGGGTAGGGAGCTACCCTGGCTGGAAGGACTTGACCCAAGTGTCTTGTGTCTGTGAGGTGGAGGGTGATGAGCAAGGAGGGGGCCATACTCGGAAGAGTGTGGATACCAAGCCCATGAACTGAGACCTCTTCCTGAAGGCAGTGGACAGCTGTTTGATCAGGAGAATGAAGGGAAGAAGGCAACCTCTTCTTATGAAGAATTTGTGTCAGCGTTGGAGGTGGGAAGCAGGAGAGCCCACATGGGCCATACTGAGATAATTAGCGGTGAAAGAAGAAGGTAGTGGAAGGGCTCCCTTCAGAAATCACCAGGGCGTCATGACCCTTGGGGAGTAGCCAGTTGCTGCAAATCCCAAGGCTAAAAGCTGAAGAATTCATAGCTGGCAGGAGGGAGGGGTAAAAGGTCAGCTGTTGGGCATTCCCCCAGAGCCCTTTGGGACGCTCTAACCCTGCCTCCCTCTTCCCTGCAGAAACATTGTACTACACAGATGACACCGCCATGGCCAGGGCCCTGGTGCAGTCCCTACTGGCCAAGGAGGCCTTCGACGAAGTGGACATGGCTCACAGGTGAGGGATGTGATCCTGGCGTGAGGCCAGGCAGGCAGTGGTGCTGCACCCCTCAAGAGAGGAACTATACCTGTGCATACCCAGCAGGGCCTCTTCTCAAGGCTGACAGCAGCTCCCTGAGCTGAAAGTGACTGCACGGTCAGTACAGGCACCTAGGCACTTCGCACCTCCCTGCCCTGCGCAGCCCTTTCTTCTAGCTACGGGAGACATCTTTGAAACTCTGTCTGCCTTCTTTCTCTTTACCAGGTTTGCCCAAGAATACAAGAAGGACCCTGACAGAGGGTATGGGGCTGGAGTCATCACTGTCTTCAAGAAGCTCCTGAGCCCCAAGTGCCGTGATGTCTATGAGCCTGCCCGGGCCCAGTTCAATGGAAAGGGCTCCTATGGTAATGGAGGTGCCATGCGGGTGGCAGGCATCCCACTGGCCTACAAGAGTATCGAAGACGTACAGAAGGTACTGGACAGGCGGGTCACAGACACCCCTTTCCCGACTGATCTGTAGAGAAGTGACAGTGGCTCATCCTCTCCACAGTTTGCCCGGCTCTCAGCCCAGCTGACCCATGCCTCCTCCCTGGGTTACAACGGTGCCATCCTGCAGGCCCTGGCTGTACACCTAGCTCTGCAGGGTGTTACATCCAGTGAGCACTTCCTTGAGCAGCTTCTGGGCCACATGGAGGAGCTGGAAGGTGATGCCCAGTCGGTCCTGGATGCCAAGGAGTGAGTATGGGCTGGAGCTGGGGGTGAGGGGGTCAGAGTGTGCAGGTCAGGGGTGGGTGTTGGCAGTGCAAAGCCGGGTCTTCCTGTCTTCACTGGCAGCTGTATGGAGTGATAGGAGGAGGCCCTTTGTCTCAGTGAATAAATGGCCCTCGGTGTCCGAGAGAACAAAACATCTCTGGTCCTCTCCCACCCAACACTGGGTGGGACCTGATGTCCCCATTCCTCTTAAGGGTCCCTTCCCCTACCTGTGTCTCTGCCTGTTCACTCTGACCTCTGAAATCGTTTCCCAAACCCCAGGTTAGGTATGGAGGAGCGTCCTTACTCCAGCAGGCTGAAGAAGGTTGGAGAGCTGCTGGACCAGGACGTGGTGAGCCGAGAGGAAGTGGTGTCTGAGCTAGGTGGGTGGACCCTGACTGATATATTCCCCAGCTGTCCTCAGAGGGCTACTGGGACAGCTAGAGCGCTTTGTAGGGCCCCTGGCAGGGCTGTGCACATGGTGCCTGCAGCCTTAAGGATCAGTGTCCACAGAAACAGCAGCCAGTTGTCGATTTGTCTACCAGTGTGATTATGGATGTTAGTTTACCTGGTGCCTGTGCCCTGGGCACCACAGAGTGTTTTACAGTGACTCACATCTCAGTAGCCCTGGGAGAGAGCAGGAATCACAGCCAAGGACAGGCCTTACTGGGATCTTGCCTGGCCACCAGCAGGTGTGGTGGCCCCATGGTCTGACTGTAGAGCCTGAGGTCTCAGGCATGGCCCTGCACAGAGCTGGGAGGGCTGGCTCTTGGCAAGGGCAGGACGCCTGTGGCAGGGAGGGAGGTCAGGTTCCTATTTCCGGCTTTCCCACAGGGAATGGCATTGCTGCCTTTGAATCTGTGCCCACCGCCATCTACTGCTTCCTGCGCTGCATGGAGCCTGATCCTGAGATCCCCTCCACCTTCAACAGCCTGCAGAGGACGCTCATCTACTCCATCTCACTTGGTGGCGACACAGACACCATAGCCACCATGGCTGGGGCCATTGCTGGAGCTTACTATGGGATGGAGCAGGTGCCAGAGAGCTGGCAGCAAAGCTGTGAGGGCTACGAGGAGACGGATGTCCTGGCCCGGAGCCTGCATCGGGTCTTCCAGGAGACTCTGTGAGGACACGCCCATCGGGACCAAGGACAACTCAGGTTGCAACCAGAGTCCCTTTAAGCTTGGGACTGGAGTCTGAGGGACAGTGAGGAACTGGTGCCTCCTTGAAGCATTCTTTTCCATCTAGGACATGGACTTCAGTAGGTGGACTTGACCTGCGGATACACCATATCTCCCTGTTGGGTTTTAACCACTGTGACAGGACAAAGCCAGCAGGTTGTGTGGCTCTTGAGACTGGCGTCTGCATCCAGCCCATCCATTGCCGACCTGGCCTGGCCCCTCTCTGGAATGGGGCTCCTTGACAGCCTCTGGTGGGAGTCACAGCAATAAACGTTTTTTTGTAAATTCCAGCATATCCTGCGTGTTTCCACTGGTGGACTGTCTTAAGTAGTGACTCCCTGCCTGCTACTGTTCTAGTACTGGGACCCCAAGACGGTAGCTGCTGTGTTGTGGGGCAGTCTTGTCCTTCCAACCGGGGAGGACAGAGTGGGCCTGATCAGTGACTTTTCTTATTGGAGGTCACACACTGCTGTCAAGGCATCTGGGCAAATACCTTGCTTGAGATTGAATAGAAACGGGCCGATCGTTCTGACCTGGATGCCCTGTAGAGTGGTACAGAGCACCCACCTCTGATGGGAGTGGGGTGTCACCCCAGGTATCCCAGTGAACTGTGTTGTATGCCTCCTGTGTCTTGGGGCCCAGGCTGAAGGCCTTGGTTTGCAAGGAAGTTTTTTATACTATTTGTTACAAAGGACAGTTGATGGTAGGAGTAGTGGTGTACGCCTTTAATCCCAGCACTGGGGAGGCAGAGGCAGGCAGATCTTTGTGAGTTTGAGGCCAGCCTGGTCTATGTAGTGATTTCTAGAACAGCCAGAGCTACAAAGTAGACCCTGTCTTGGAAAAAAACGGGAAAAAAAAACAGAGTTGAAAAGACACCTTCCCACAAACCATGAGTATGATCTCTGAGCATCCTTGCAGGTTCAGTGAAGGGACAAGCATGCACAGCTAGCTCAGGGGTTGGCCTGAGGCTGCAGCTTCCATCAGCGTAGGCCAGTAACAGGGCATAGCTTTTATCAGGTCTGCTGTTCTAGGTCCCTTGGCAAGCTGTGGACAGGTGCTTTCTGCTCAGGACAGCCCCTCTACCCCGTCCTCAGGACCAGAGAGCCACAGCTTCATTCATAATTTGTATCAGATGTTGTAACTTGGCCCTTGGGGTCCTGAGCCAATCGCCATGCTCCACTGCTCCCGAGAGCTTGCAGGAATGTTCCAGTGAAGTTCAACCCGCTCCAGCCACTGCCCTTCTTTGGTTTCATAGAATGCCTCCAAGTGTGCCGGTGGTGCTGAGGCAGCAGGGGAGCCTCAGGATCTTGCACGGGATGCTGTAAGGAAGGGTGCACTCCTCAAGAGGCCAGAGAAGTGCCTGGACACCGTGAGGCATCTCTGGACCGAGGTCAGGGTCACAGCAGGATTTCTACAACAGGTTTTATTGGGGATGGTCCATACAGTCAGTACTGCAGTTTTCAGAGAGAAATTCCATTTTCCTGATTCCCCAGTGTGTTTTCCCTGAACCTGACATGGGGCTCATGATAAGTAGAGAGAAACTTCCTACACCAGGGTAGAAATGAAATCACAAGTGGAAAAACCTAATTAAAAAAAAAAAAAGCCAGAATACAAAAATGCACAAGGTAAGTGTAGTCGTCATGTTAAAGCCTGACACTGTTTGTCAGAATTGCTCAATGACACCTACAGCTCCCACCCACAAACACTGCAAAATCGCCACCCTTCCCTAAAGGCTTCAGGGTAGAGTCCAGCAGCTCCGCTGATACAACTTTTGGGGCTCCCTCAGAGTCAACTAACCACTGCCCATCAGAACTCATCCCTAACACGTCAGATTAGTGGCTTTGACCCCAGGAAGGAGGAGGCTGAACAAAAGGCCCAGCAGGGATGCTCTGACTCACTAATTGGTTCTCTTGGGCAGAAAAGCACACTGAGCCCTGGACAGAGCTTTTCCTTGCTGACAGGGGCAGGCTCCCACTTTGGGAGCGGAAGTAAGCAGTTAACTAGGCTGCTTTGCAGGGGAGGAGGCTGGGCCCTGGGCCCTCAGCCCATGGGCAGGCACAGCTGAATGGACACAAACTGGAGCACAAGATGGGTTGCCTCTTGAATGTCCCAGATTCACACTCGGTACAGTGATGCAGGCTGACTAGGTGAGAACTGAGGAAGGTCATGGACCACGGAGAAAGCAGCCATCCTTACACAGGTAAGAGTATCGGCCATCCCTGCTCCCAGCATTGACCCCAGCCTGAACTGGGGGCCAAGGAGCTAGGAAGCAAGCTCGCCTGTTTCCCTGCAGGAGCATTGTGATTAGGGAGGGTGGTGGAAGCCTCCAAAGCCAGCTCATTCCAGTGGGGCCTGCTGGCATCCTTTCTTTCAGAGCCTCAGCCTCTTGGGCCCTACCCTGCTTAGAACAGGAAATTGGAAGCAGAGGGCGGAGAGAAGGAAGTGCCCACAGATGAGCCCCTCCGGCAGACACTAAATCTCTACAGCACAGTTCTTATTAAGTCTTCACCGTGTGCCTCTGCGCAGAGGGCCAGAGACAGGCGCTCTTGAAGACACTCGGTTTGGGGTTGGCAAGGGTCCCCTAACGGTCTGATGATGAGAAAATTAGCCTACCCCCAGCGGGTGAGAGGAAAGAGGGAGGGGCACTCGTGTCTGCTGATCACTTGTCCTGGTTGGCTCTGCAATCGCAGGGATACTACAGAGTTCCATCTCAGCCCAGGGCTGTCCACCCTCACGTTAAAAAGCCAGCGCCAATGGGGATAGCCAGGGAAATAGAAGAGCTACCAGACTGCCTCAGACCCATGCCCCTGTCCCCTCACAGACCTCTACAGACGGTTGCTTCTGGAGTCTTTCAGGGGCCAGTAGCAAAGGCCACACAACTTTCCCCACCAGGATCATTCCGGGGGTCTAGTCAAACTGACTGCCTCCAGGTCCCCCATTCCCTTCTTCCTTCCCCCCAAAAGGAAACAAAGACTTCAGGGAACCTAATGTCATTTGCTGGAGGCCTCCGGGGAGCTGGAAGAGGCCCAGTGAACACAGGCATCACCCCTGGCCCGTTCCGTGCGTCTAATGCCAACAGGAAAATCATCTCTCCCAACAGCTTCCAGGGCTCACATGGGGGCCGGACTGAGTGCTCCAGGGTGCTGCCTGCAGACCAGGCAGGTCCAGAACAGGGTACAACCCCTACAGTGCACCGGGGGAAAGAAAATTAGGCCAACCTCTTCCAGAACCCACTTCGGCCTACAGACGGGGAAAACAGGTCCGTCTCCTCGGGCCAAGGCCGCCGCCACCTCTGTTGAGCTGTTGGTTGTTTTCTTCAAATGGCAGTCTCTAGAACTGGAAAGGTCTCTCTATCGCTAAAGAGGAGGAAGCCAGGGCAGCAGGGCCCCCCACGGGTTATGTGGGACAGAGCAAGAATCCTGAGAAGGAGGAGTGGATGTACTCAGTGGAGTAGAGGCCGTTGGCCTGGTCTGAGGGCATCTGTACCCACACCTGGTCATTGGGCCGCAGCTGGAGCACAGCCCCTCCAGACGCCTGGTCCAAATAGCCCTTCTTGTACTCGTCGTAGGTGTAGGTGGCCGGCACGTTGTTCTTGTACAGGGCCACCCACACATTGGTGCCCTTGACATGCACGTGGTAAGCAAAGTAATAGACACCTCCCACAGGGCAGGTGAAGATACCAGTAGCTGGGTTGTAGCCGCTGTGACCATTGTAGAGAGTCCGGTCAAACCTAACTGGCATGCCTGAGGCAGGGAAGGGGGAGGTGAGCAGAGCGGTGAAGGCCGGAGTAGCCTGTGCTGACAGCTCCCCCAGCCCAAACTGTGGCTTTCCCCCCTTGCCCAGTACAGCCCCCTCCACTCCACCGTTGGGCAGATGCAAGCCTGCAATACCAGTCTCGTCAAAGGCTCCAGGGGCACCAGGAGGGCCAGGAGGCCCAGGGGGCCCAGGAGGACCTGTGAGTCCTGGGGAGCCAGGGACTCCAGGGGGTCCTGTGGGCCCAGCAGTGCCAGGTTCCCCCACTTTTCCCTCTCCTGGAGGCCCTGGAAGGCCTGGTTCACCCTTTAGGCCTGGCAGACCCTGGGGCCCAATAGGGCCAGCTGGGCCCTGCAGTCCTGGGATTCCAGAGGGGCCTCTCAAGCCAGGCTGCCCAGGAAGCCCCAGGTCACCTTTCTGTCCAAGGGCTCCTGCCACCCCTGGCCCTCCAGGGCGACCTGTAAAACCTGGCTCACCCTTGGGTCCAGTTGGTCCAGGGGGTCCGTGAGGTCCAGGAAGTCCCCTCTCACCAGGGAGCCCAGGCTTCCCTGCCAGACCATTAGGCCCTTGGTCACCCCGAATGCCAGGCACTCCTGGGGGACCTCCAGGTCCTACCTCTCCCTTGGGTCCAGGAGGCCCACGTCTACCAGGAAGCCCTGCAGACCCAGGAAGGCCAGGTGGACCCCCAAGGCCCTGTGGACCCTGCTCTCCTGGCTCCCCATCCTCTCCTGGCTCACCTCTGTCCCCCAAAAGCCCTGGGGCCCCAGCTGGGCCCCTATCTCCCTTAGGTCCCGGTTTTCCTGGCATCCCATAGCCAATAGGGCCTATTAATCCAGGGGGGCCCCGGAGCCCTGGCTCCCCTTTAGCTCCTGCTGGGCCCTGTGGCCCTGGTATACCTGCTGCCCCTGGCACCCCCACACCGTCTACCCCAGGGGGGCCTTTTGGACCCATAACTCCTGGCTCTCCCCTAGAGCCTGGAACCCCAGGGGGACCAGAATCGCCTTTGTCTCCTGGGGCTCCTGGTATCCCATCCAAACCTGGTTTGCCCAAGCCAGCTGGACCAGGTAGCCCGGGGGGCCCAGGGGCACCTGACTGCCCAGGGGCCCCAGGAAGCCCTGGCTGGCCTACCCCATTATCCCCCTTGAGACCCCTATCACCTCGGGGTCCAGGCTCTCCCTGGGGTCCTGGCTCCCCCCTAAATCCTGGAGGCCCTGGCATTCCCTGGGCACCTGGTTTTCCAGGGACAGTAATGCCTGAAGGACCAGGAAGGCCAGGGGGTCCTGGGGGTCCCCGGAGGCCCTGGTCCCCTCGTATCCCTGGCTCTCCCCGCAATCCTGGCTGTCCTGGTGGTCCAACCTTCCCTGGGAGCCCTGGGGGACCAGCCTTGCCCATCCGGGAGAAGCCAGGGGGGCCAGCAGGGCCTGGCTGCCCATGAAGCCCAGGTTTTCCTGTGCCTGGCTTTCCTGGAAAGCCAGGAGGCCCAGGGGGACCCCGAGGTCCTGGCTTCCCAGGGGGGCCCGGCTCTCCTTTCAAGTCCATTGGCAGCAGCGGCAGAGGCATTTCTGAAAGAGAGAGAAGGGGACAGTCAGGGCCTGGTCAATAGAAGCTGGGAACCTCATCTACCCATTCCCCTCGGGCAGTGCGAAGAGCAGTGGGGGGAAACGAGGCTTTGCACGACTCGGAGAGCCCACTCCCAGAGCTCCTCTCCACAGTGGAGGAAGTCCAAAGGGGTCCAGTTGCTGTCCCGGGGATTGCCACAGGTGTCCTCCTCCAGGACTTCCCTGTACCCAACTAACCAGTCAGGCCCTGCCCAATGAACTTAGAATATGTATGACTGCAAGACTTGTTGGTCAGCCACCAGGTGGCGCCAGGAACCCGCTTTACAGACCAGTCAAGTACCTTCCTGCACCCCCATATGGAGACTACTGAGAAGCCCTGGCCCGGCCATAGGATGAAAAAGTGGAGTCAGGATTTCTGCTGGACACTGGGAAGCTAAGGTCTCAAGGGTCTGGGGGCGCCTAGGGAGCCAGGGATCTGGCTTAGGTACTGAATAGGGAGGCTCTCACCCAGGTACTGGCCCTTGCCCTCGCGGAAAGGCGGTCCCACTGGTCCTTTCTGCCTGGGCTGCACGTACTTTACCGGGGCATAGCCTGCTGCGCCCCCAACTCCGCCGCCAGAGGACACTCTTGGCCCACACCCCAACAGCAACAATAGCAGCGAAGGCAGGGTCATCGGAGCCCCCTGCATGGCCTCTGTGGATGCGCTGCAGAGAGAAGGAGAAGGCGTCACTAAACCCGCCACCAGGACCAGGGGCTCAGCTAGAAACTCAGTTGTTATCAGAAAGCAAATCTCCAAGGCAGGGATCTGAAAATAAACCTCTCCCGAGTGCATCTGTCTCCCCCAGGCTAGACTTCGCAACCAGACAGAACCTTCTGGAGAACCAGTGTAGTGATACTTTGTGTTTTAACAAATAAAGCTTGCCTGAAGATCAGAGTGCAGAGCTAAGCCACTAGAGGTCAGGCGGTGGTGGCTCACACCTCTAATCCCAGCACCAGGGGGGTTGAGATAGGAAGTGATATGGTTTATGGCTGGATGGAGAGAGGAATATAAGATGGGAGGAGACAGGAGCTCAGATGCTCAGTCTGAGGTTTCTTTGAAATAGCATTTAGTCTGGAGATGCAGTCTGAGGATTCATATAGACAGGATCGTCCCTTCGGTCTGAGCATTGGTAGAGGTAAGAACTCTCTAGTAGCTGGCTGCTCTGCTTCTCTGATCTGTCAGCTTTCACTCCCGTTATCTGACTCCGGGTTTCATTTATTAAGACCATTTAGAATTCGTGCTACAAACCAGCTTGACCTCAGCACATCCCTTGCTAAAGCAAACCCCTGCCGTGTACCTCTTCCAGGTACCACTGGGGCTTTTCAGAGATGTAAATACAGTTATCTCAACACTGGTATACTGGTGTCACTGGAACGCCCAGATTCCAGATGATGATATAGGGGAGGCAGGTCTGGGATTTGACGTGGGTCCTCATGATTCTCCATCATGTTGACATCCTTCTGGACTCCATCCTGCCAGGAACCAAAGCCTTATCTTTGGCCTCGCCATCCCTTCCTTTCCCGCCAACCTTTACTCTGTGAGCCAGAGTCCTAACAGGACAGCTCCCAGGCCCCTGGTCATAGTTCCAGGCCCTTGAATCTGCTGATTCTTCCGGTGGTGTCAGTTTTACCTCTGCTCATCCTTCAAGGCCCCTTCCTCCAAAATGCCTTCTGCCAGTTCACACACAACTTTGTGCCCCACCCTGTGCTATCCATACCACTTAGCTGAACTCAAAGAAAAAGGCCCAGGGTCTAGATTCTCCAGCTTGATTACTCACTAGAGAGGGATCTGGGCAGATGAACTGGGGTAATACACAGAATATGCAAATGTTCATGGCATTACATTATACATAACAGCCCCAAGTGAAGGCAAGTCCATCATTACCTGACCAGGATGCTACCACAAAGTGTGCACTCTCCACACAATGCACTACTCTGTGTGTGTGTGTGTGTGTGTGTGTGTGTGTGTGTTGGCTTTTTAAATTTATTTATTTTACATCACAGCCATAGTTTCCCCTCCCTCGTCTCCTCCCATTTCCTCTCCCATGAACTACTTTTTAAAATGCCTTTTTAATTACGTTTTATATATTTATTTGAAGGAGGGGCACATGTGTCATGGTATGAATGTCACAGTCAGAGGACAACTTGCATGAATCGGTTCTCTCTGTCCACCATGTGGATTCCAGGGATCAAACTCAGCTCATCAGGCCTGGCAGCAAGTGCCCTTACCTGCTGGCATCTTGCCAGTCCTAGACATGGTTTTTAAAATGGGGCACAGAGGATGGGAAGAAGGGCTGAGGAGTTAAGAGCACTGACTCACTGCTCTTCGGACAACCCAGGTTTGGTTCTACACACCCACATGTAGGCTTACAACCATCTGTAGCCCCACGCCAAGGAAAAGAAACAGTTTTCTTTGCTTCTCTGTGCAGCTCTGGCTATCATGGAACTTACTATGTAGACCAGGCTGGCCTCAAGCTCAGAGATTGATCTGCCTGCCTCTGCCTCCTGATGCTGAGATTAAAGCCAAGCCGTGTGCCAACCACCTCCTGGCCACCGCCGCCGCCTCCTCCTCCTGACAGGTTCTCATACAATCCAAGCTGGTGTCAACTTGGTAGATAGCTGAGGACGACTTAGAACTCCCGACCCCCCTACCTCTACCTCCCGGGCGTTGGGATTGCAGGTGTAAGGCACCACACTCGGTCTTAGAGGGTGCTAGGGATTGAACCCAGGGCTCTGGAGCCACATTCCCAGTCTATAGATGTGCTCCATGTAGAGTATGTCCTTAAGGAAGTCATTGTCACAAAACAGCTACCAGAAGAAACAGCAATGAGAAAGAAAGTACAAGGATGCTCTTCCCAAAGATGCTCCCTTGGAACAGATAAACAAGGTCACCGCAGGGGCCTGTGATGCAACTGTTAGGAGCACTGACTGTGCTTCCTCAGGACCCAGGCTGGGTTCCCAGCACCTACACTGTGGCAACTCCAGCTCAGGGAACCCAGTGCCCTCTTCTGGCCTCTGTGAGTACTGCACACACATGGTGCACAGTCATACATGCAGGCAAAACACCCACACACATGAATAATAAAAAATTATTTTTAAAAATGTTTAAACTTGGCCGGGCGGTGGTGGCGCACGCCTTTAATCCCAGCACTCGGGAGGCAGAGGTAGGCGGATCTCTGTGAGTTCGAGACCAGCCTGGTCTACAGAGCTAGTTCCAGGACAGGCTCCAAAGCCACAGAGAAACCCTGTCTCGAAAAACCAAAAAAAAAAAAAATGTTTAAACTTTAAAAAAATCAGCAGAGCGATGGCACATGTCTTTAATACCCACATTTAGGAAGCAGAGGCAGGCAGATCTCTGAGTTTGAGGTCAGCCTGGTCTACAGAACAAGTTCCTGAACAGTCAAGGCTACACAGAGAAAACATCTTGGAAAAAAAATTAAAGCCTTGGTCATGCCTCCTCTGGACTCTTCACACATGAAATGCATTCGCCACCCCTCCCTGCTTAAAGTCACCCAGCTCTTAGCAGGAATGGACAGAGGGCTGCAGAGAAGCTCCACGGAGCCCCTGCCCCACTCCTGGGTTCAAATCCAAGCACTACCACTCATCAGCTCCGTGACCTCAAAGGACCCCTTACACCCTGAGCTTCAGTCTGACAGTAAGACCCGTCACTGTGGGTCCCTTTCTGCCAAGCTCAAGCTGACCTTCTCACGGAGCCCAGTGAGTCCATGTGAAGGTGACCCTGTGCCTTGGACATGGAAAGAGAATTACAGGAGCTTCCTGCAGCTTGGTGTGGGGAGGGGGCTTCCCCAGCATGTGTGAGGCCGTGGGTTCCACCCTTAGCAGAGGGGGAAAGGAGAAGAAGGAGGGAGGGTAGGAAGAGGGATAGGGAAGAGACACTGCTTATAAACGTCTCGATTGGGGCTGAGGCTGTGGCTGTGGCATCAGGAATCTCCCTGAGCACAGGCCACCTGCCTCATTGGCTGTGACTGATGCCAAGACCCAGTGAACCTGCGATGTACATACAGGTCCGGCTCTTCTTAGATGCTGCTGTGATCAGCCCAGAAGCTGCCCCAACAGTTCACATAGAAACACTCACTACAGCCCGCGAGGACGCTACTGTGTCCAGAGCAGAGGAAACGGATTGAAGGGCTTCATCAACGGGCTTCAGATAGACCCTAAACCTGGGCAGGGAAGCCCCGCCCTCTACCCACCTCACCTTGCCTGAGCAAACAGAGCAGGCCCTCTTGCACTAGTTGTGCGAGCTAGAGCACTCAGAGAGAGCTGTGCACACCTGTCTAGAGCCAGAGTGTTCTGTCTGGCAGGTGGACAGGGGTGGGGGAGCAGAGGGGAAGCGTGGAGGAAGGGGGCTGAGTATAAAGCTGGTAACAGAGGGAGCCAAGACGGCTGCCGGCTTGCTTTAGGCCAGGGTCAAGGGCATGACACCATCAGAAGAGATCCAGAACAGTCCTGATCTGGAAAGGTCAGACCTGTTTCCCACCCTCAGGAAATGGTAATGGACGGCAGAGTCAGGAAGGTACCCAGGCAGGTGTGGTACCAAAGGAAACACCCCAGGGCTAGCCAGGAGCAGGATGCCAGCACCCAGAGCTTTGAGATCTGCTTGGTGTGGGGTCCTACAGAAAGTGCCTTTGACTCCCCCCCCCATAGCTCCTAACACTCCGACAACTTCTACCCAACACTGATGTGTGTGTGCAAGAGAGAGAGAAGGAGAGACAGACAGATGGACAGACAGACAAAGACAGAGCCAGGGACAGAGAGACAGAGAGAGACTCCCTCCAGGAGATCAGGACAGGTCTGATACCAGGCATGTCTTTGGAGAATGAGGGAAGTGATGGAGGCGGCATGACTTAGAAGGTTTTTGTCCAAACAATGACTTAATTTCTGTGGCCCTCTCCACAAGGAAGATGCTGTCAGGCCTGTCTGCAGGTGAGGAAACAGACTCAGAGCAGCACAGCAATGCTTGCACAGGGTGGGGGACAGCAACGACAAGGCTAGGGCAGAGAGGCCTGTGACAAAGCCATGCTTTAACCACTAGGGTTTCCTGCCAGGGGAGCCAGGCCAGCCAGCAAAGCAGCCAGCGCCAAGAGCCTGTTCAGGGGCTGAAGAAAGAGGCAATGACCTGGAGGTGGCGCTGTGTGGACCTGTGTGCCAGGCCGCAAGACGCTGCGCTTGCTTACTGCGCCCCCTTGGTGCTTCTCCACCTGCTGGAGACACCCGGCGCATTGGCTGCCTCACCCAGCCTTGTCTGTGGAGCCAGGCTCAGCTCTTCTGTCCTGATTTAGCTCTCCTCCTCTCCCCGTCCCCACATGGCCAAGCTGGCACACAGCGAGGCTCCACAATGTGTGACCAACTCAATTCACCGTCAGACTTAACACACAATGCTAGATATGGTGGCACATACCTGTAATCTCAGAAAACAGGAGGCAGGGGCGGGAGGGGCACAGAAACGTCTAGGTCATCCTTGACTACTTGGCAAGTCTGAGACAAGGATGTCTCAATCAACCAATCAAGAACACAGCAAAAACCCTCCAACCTTTCCCCAGCGACAACCTGAAGAGCGTCTCTGCACAGACGTGTCTTGCTCCAGAAGAGTGGAACAAAGGGAACAATTTTTCTGTTACTTGTTCTCCCAGATGGAATTATTGCCTAACTTAGAGGGTCAAAGATCAGGTGGCAAGTCCTGAGACTCCAGCCATCTCTGCCCACGACTGGCTGTGTGACCTCGGGCAAGCCATCACCCTCTCTGGTGACCTCTCCGGAGGTGTGGACAGACCAAGGCTAGGGCTGGCAGGGGTGCGGAGCCTCGGAGGTGGGACGCGTTCAGGAGACGCTGATTCAGGGGATTGAGCCCTGGCGGCGGCGGGGCAGACGCGGTGTTTGGACAGCTGCAAGTCCTTAACGGGGATTTCCCCCCTTTTCAACAAATCGCCATAAAACACCATTCCGTCCAAGTCAGCGTTTTGGGGCAGCCTGGCCTCCTCCCAGGGAGGCGGAGGAGACAGGCTGGGAGCGGGTGCCCCGGGGCTTCCAGACCCAGGTGGGAGGAGGCGCAGGCCAACCGCTCCCCTACCCGGACCCCTCCTCCGGCTCGGGTCTCAGGTGTGTCCCCGCTCCATCCCTCACCTCGGAGCGAGCTGTCTCGTCCGAGGTGCAGAGAGGCCCGAGGGAGGGCGCAGGGTGAGGCTGCTGTGACCCCGCCCCGCGGTGGGGACGGGTGGAACCCGACCCGAGCAGAATCCAGGCCCCAGCACCCCAGACGGCGGCTCCGCGAGCAGCGGCGGGGAGGCGCGGCGGCCGCTCCGCCAAACCACAGGTATGCTGCGAGCCGCTTCCTGTGGAGGAGACGTTCAGCAGAGCCCCTGCCCGGTGCCTGGTCCCCACTCCCCCAGCCTCTTCCTTTCTCCCTGTCTCTTGGCGCTCCTGTCTTCCCTCACCTGTCAGATGACGGCATCTCCCAGCCCCTCCTAGAGCCAGGCAGCCCCTTGGCCTCCCAGCGCAGGTACTGGGCAAGTGATTTAACCTTTCTGAACCTCAGTGTCCTCAGCAAAAAGATCAACTGAGGTCTCAGGAGCCAGCAGACCTTCTAGGAGTGCTGTCTTGGCTTGTCCCTTGAGGGCCAGGTCGTCCTGCCCTCAGTCCAGCCACATACCCTCCTGTTGCAAAGTGACATCTAGCCTCCATCCAAAGCCTAACGTCTTGAGAAATGAAGTCTGAATTCCATTTCCTGCCCTCTAGACCTTTCTCTGGTTAGTCAAGACAGAACACCAACCAGGTTTGTCTGTAGAGACCGCTGAAGACAACTGAACTAAGGACCCCCGGGGTGAGCAGAGGATACGACCCCAACCTCAGGCCCTCAACCTCCACTGTAAACTCTAAACTCTCCCCTTCCCTGAGTCCCAAAAGGAAAGTGGTCTCCTACCCAAGGCCAGACCCCACCTCAGGAGCTTAGGGTGGACGCCAACCCTGTGGCTTCCAGTCACTTGCTCCACCTGTCCTCAGTTCAGGCATATCCCTGCGCGCCCCGAGGCACCGTTCTCTTCCTCCCTTCCCTGACAAGCTTCGACCCTCTTCCTCTGCCTGCAGGCAGAGCCAGGCTCCCCCGCCCCCCCCCCCTCTGGACTGTCCTGGTAGTTCCAGGTATCCCTGCGGCTGTCCGCAGCTCCAGCTCCAACACGGAGTCCAGGAGTCCCAACACACCTGTCTCCAGCTTCCCACTCCCACTGTTCTTTAGCTCCGCCTCCCACGCTGCTGTCATTTCCTCTCGCTGCTTCCTATTCCCCCAACCCCTGGTGCCCAGGATAAAAATCTGAACATCATTGCTGGCCCTTCCTTCCTTATATGGTAATGGTGGCTCTACACCCCTGCAAAGCCTTGGCAGGGTTAGGAGAGACTACCCTCCCTTCCAGCCCACTTGGTCCTTTCCTGAAGGCTCTTGGGAGGCCACCATCCTACATCCTACGCAACTATATGTTAACACCCCTATTCCTTTCCCTTCAAGCACCTCCCGATTTGCAGAGCTGGACCTTAGTCCGAGGACGGGCGAGGATGGGAGGAGTCACAGGTGGCGATGCTTAGGCAGCGGTGATGGTGACAGGCACACAGGTCTGAATGGAAGGGCAGACGGATGCTGGTGCTTGCTGGTCAGTTGACAAGGCCTTCTGCAAGGCCAGTGTGGACAGCCATACTTGTGAATGCTGGACCTTAGCTCTGTGTTTGCTTCCATGGACGAGGTCTGGCTAGAAGTGGGGTGTGTGGGGGTCTGAGTGCCTACATCTCTCTGACTCAGCCCCCTAGTTTATTTTATTATTTTTTAAATTTTTAAATTTTTTTTTTTTGATTTTCGAGACAGGGTTTCTCCGTAGCTTTTTGGTTCCTGTCCTGGAACTAGCTCTTGTAGACCAGGCTGGCCTCAAACTCACAGAGATCCACCTGCCTCTGCCTCCTGAGTGCTGGGATTAAAGGCGTGCGCCACCACCACCTGGCCTTCAGCCCCCTAGTTTAAATGTGTGGGTAAGGGCTGCCCTAAAGCTTGAGAGCTGCCCGGGACCTCATCACCCAGATGGGTGTCAGCTCAGGAGCACACCTATGCTCACGGCATCTCTCCTACCAGGCTGCAGTTCCCACACCCAGCACACAGGGGACCTCCGTCTAGGGAACAGCCCTGGAAGGAGACTTGAGGGAGATGGCAGCAGGGTCACTAGGAGGCAGGGGCAGATGCTGGCAGAGGGATGCAAACTGAGGGCAGAGCACACGTCCATCCTAGCGGGGAAGGCTGCGCAGTCTCAGAAAGGACGAGCCACCTAGCGGCACACGGAAGGGGAAAGGCACTACCTGCAGGTCAAGCCTGGACTCATGGGTGGAGCTGGCCCTGCTTCAAGCCTGCCACAGCCCTGGGTGTCCTCAACTCCTTACCCACCTTCCCATAGTTGCCGACGTGACCCTCTCTGCCCAGGACCCCTTTCTTCCTTTTTCTTCCAAACACACTTCCCAAAGTCCCTCCTGAGTGCCCCTTCCTTCAAGCAGCCTTCCCAGCACCTCCCCCTCAGGACCACCTCAGCCCCTCCCTTCAGCATCACTCAGGAAGTACTCAAGAGAGCCTACAGCTGGGATGTGGGGGATGGGGATGGGGCTCCAGGGCAGGCCCTGACCTGGCCACCTTCCACCCGGGGCCCAGCCCTAGGCATTCTGATCACGGCTCTCTGTTGCCCTTCCTGATTCCTTAGGCTTGAGCCACAGAAGGCTAGCTCTCCCTCCTTACAGGTGACTACATTTAATGCCCCGCCCCTGGCCTCGGCCCACTTGAGTCTAGACACCTGTTATCCCCTGGAGGAACATCTCCTTGCCACCAAGCCTCCAGCCAGGGAGGTAGGAATCTCCAGGCTGAGACAGATGACCCCTTGGCCACTGCACCCTCTGGCAGGTAACCAAGAAACTGGCTCCTTCCATCAGGGGCTATGGGCTCAGCGGGTGGCATGCTGTCCTGGCTTCCAGCAGAGGTCTTGAGCCTCTGACCAAAACAGACTGGAGGGTCTCCAGAAGCAGCCACCCAGCCTCAGGCCCGGCAGGCGGGACCTCCTCAGCCTCCAGCTCTTCGACTTCTGGTTCCCATTTGCAGCCTTTTCCGGAGCGCCACCCTCGGCCGCTGTCGCTCCAGCCGGCCAAGATTCCTGGACCTCGCGGCTTCCCTGCGTGGTGGCGGCGGCGGCAACAGGAGAGGCCGGGTTGGACAGAGAGGGAGCCGGCGGGAGTGCGGCCAGGCCACTGCACTCGGGCACAGCCAAGCAAACAGGGCCGCGCCAAGGAGCGGGGCTAGATAGTTCACAAATGAGAAAAAGCTGCTTCCGACTTGGGCCGGGGTTTTACAGCGCTAAGAGCTGAGGTCACCTGCAGGAGAAGCCGTCGGCAAGGGCACCCTGGGCCTGGGAGGGAGTGGCTGCTGCTGCTGCTGCAGGAACCAGTGAGTTTACAGGGAGGCACACACCTTCTCTTCCAACATTGGGTGTCAGAAAATCCCGTCCAGGTCTAGCTTACCTTTTTGGGTTGTTTTTTTTTTTTTGGTGGGAGGGGCCACGAAGGTCGTAGCAGAAGCAGGGCCTGGTGGGAATGAAGGACAGGGGCAGTGAGAGCATGCCTGGAGAAAGCGTGGGAAACCTCCCATGGGTCCTCATCCCCCTCCACCCCCAGGTAGCAGTGGCACCTGACCAGGAGCCCTGCTAGAGCAGCCCCCTCCTCAGCCTGGTACCAGGGACCCATTTCCCCCTAGGCACACTTAGTGACACCGAGGAACCCCTTTAAGATGTGTGCCCAGCTGTTCTGGCTAAGTCCTTTCTCTACATTAGGATTGACTGGGGGTGACCCTTAAGATGGGGAAGTGGTCTGACTAGAGAAGTTCATACTGAGGTCTCCACCCCTGCCCTGGAGAAGCTGGGAGCATCAATCAAAAGGCCATCACAAGACTGGCTAGTCCTTAATCGCAGTACTCAAGTGGATCTCTGTGAGTTCGAGGTCACAATCATGTAACTCTACAGGAATAAAAAGACGGGATTTCAAAAAGAACTTGGTAGAGAACGCAGACTGCCGACCAATGATAGCATAAACTTTTTTTAAAAATATTTATTTATTTATTTATTTATTATGTATACAATATTCTGTCTGTGTGTATGTCTGCAGGCCAGAAGAGGGCACCAGACCTCATTACAGATGGTTGTGAGCCACCATGTGGTTGCCGGGAATTGAACTCAGAATCTTTGGAAGAGCAGGCCATGCTCTTAACCACTGAGCCATCTCTCCAGCCCCCTAAATAAATATTTTTTTTAAAAAAAGAAAGAAATCAATAGGGAGCCATTGAAGGCAGTGGAGTTGGGGAGGTGGGTATGGCCAGAGCTCTGAGTGGCAGAGTTCCCCGGTTGTGCCTCAGCTAAACAGGGTACCAAGGTTCTGTCAGAAGCTGTAGCTCAGGGCTCAGGATGTAATGTAGTTGGTAGAATGCTTGCCTAACACACACAATCCCCAGGACTGCGTAAATCAGATATAGTGGTACATGCCTGTCAACCCAGCACTTGCAAAGTGGAGCAATAGACTCAGGAATTCAGCTCATCCTCATCCATACTGTGAGTTCAAGGGCAGCTTGGGCTACATGAGACCTTGTCTCAAAATATTTGTAAAATTCCCTAGCCTAGATGAGTTTGGGGCTATTGTCCAGACCCAGACATGACTCCTGGGTGGATAAAGAGGGGACACCCAGCCAGCCCACCTGGCAGGAAGAACTGAGGCTTCGTCACTCTCTCCCCCAGCTGCTTGCTTGCCTCTGCCCAATCCCATGGAAACTCTGACAGCCTGGCCTTCTCTGTGGCTGCACAAACAGCCTGATGCCAAAGCCTGCTGCGCCTCCTGGCTGGCTCTCCACCTTGCTGAGCCCTGAACACCCTGACTTCAGTAAACACCAGAACCTCAGCAAGGCCACTTTCTGAGCTTCTGGCCTGGCTGCTGTGACCTGGCTGCTGGGCCTGGGTAGGCAGTTTGTACCACTCAGTGCAAACCTCCCACCCACCTACCCCACTGGGGTTGATCTAGGCTGGATCTGAGGTTTGGATCTGAGAACAGAACTGAAGGTGTGGTATGTGGCAATGCCCCAAACACACACAAGGGACAAAGGGGGTTAAAATTTAAAAAGCTAGGGAGACAGGATAGAGCTCACTAGCCAAGCATAAGGCTTGGATTCAGTCCCTAGCACTACATACGCATATGTACACACACATAAATGTACACATATACAAATACATACATATGCACACATATATACTCACATACATATGTACGCATATACATATACTACACATACATGTGTATGCATATACATATACTACACATACATATACTACACATACATATGTATGCACATACATATACTACACATACATATGTATACATATACATATACTACAATACATGTGTATGCATATACATATACTACACATATATGTATTCATATACTACACATACATATGTACGCATATACGTATACTACACATACATATGTACGCATATACATATACTACACATACATATGTACGCATATACATATACTACACATACATATGCACGCATATACATATACTACACATACATATGCACACATATACATATACTACACATACATATGCACACATATACTACACATACATATGTACACATATACATATACTACACATACATATGCACGCATATACATCTATTACACATACATATGCACGCATATACATATACTACACATACATATGCATGCATATACATATACTACACATACATATGCACGCATATACATATACTACACATACATATGCACGCATATACATATACTACACATATACATTACTACATATACATATACTACACATACATATGCACACATATACATATACTACACATACATGTGCACACGTATACATATACTACACATACATATGCACACATATACTACACATACATATGCACATATATACATATACTACACATACATATGCACGCATATACATATACTACACATACATATGCACACATATACATATACTACACATACATATGCACACATATACATATACTACACATACATATGTACGCATATACTACACATAATATGTACGCATATACATATACTACACATATACATTACTACATATACATATACTACACATACATATGCACACATATGCATATACTACACATACATATGCACACATATACTACACATACATATGTACACATATACATCTACTACACATACATATGCACGCATATACATCTACTACACATACATATGCATGCATATACATATACTACACATACATATGCACACATATACATATACTACACATACATATGTACACATATACATATACTACACATACATATGTACGCCTATACTACACATACATGTGTACGCATATACATATACTACACATACATATGCTACACATACATATGTACGCATATACATATACTACACATATACATGTACTACACATACATATGCACACATATACATGTACTACATATACATATGCACACATATACATATACTACACATACATATGCACACATATACATATACTACACATACATATGTACGCATATACTACACATACATATGTACGCATATACTACACATACATGTGTACGCATATACATATACTACACATACATATGTACGCATATGCATATACTACACATATACATGTACTACACATACATATGCACACATATACATATACTACACATACATATGTACGCATATACTACACATACATATGTACGCATATACTACACATACATGTGTACGCATATACATATACTACACATACATATGTACGCATATGCATATACTACACATATACATGTACTACACATACATATGCACACATATACATATACTACACATACATATGTACACATATACAAACTAGTGCTGGGGATGCAGTTCACTTGGCAGTGTTTGCCTAGCATGTTCAAAGCCCTGAATTCAGTCCCCAACACTACTTAAACTCAACGAGTTAGCATATACCTGTAATCATAGGATTCAAGAGGAAGAAGCCAGAGGATCAGAGATTCAAAGTCATCTTCAGCTACGTGGCCTGCATATGATGTTCAAGGCCAAGTGATCTTTACCACTGAGCCAGCACCACCCCCTTTAAATTTGTGCCCAGGCTCATATGTACACTCACGTGTTTGAGGCCAAAGGACAAGTCTGAGTAACTGATTCTCTCCTTCCACATGGGTTCTGGGGATCAAGCGTGGGTCACCGGGCTTCTCCTGCAACCATTTATACCTGCTAAGCCATCTTGCTGGCCCAGGCTTTGAACCATGGTCTGTACAGGTGCCTTCACTTGAGAGGGCTGCCTGGGTTCAGCTGAGGAAAACCTTGAGTATCAGGGTCAGAGACCTGGGCCCAACCTAAAGCTGGTTCCCCCTTCCTCTACCCATGACGCAACCGTCAGAATAGTTTCTAAATCCCAAGAACACCTAGAAAGAACAAGGTCCTCAGTGGCTCAGTCCCCAACACCACTAAATAAATAATAGACCTTAAATCCATACTATACACAAACCAGCACTGGCCATGTCCCAGACATAACTTTAAAAAACATTTTTATTACATTTTTTTATTATTGTGGGGGAGGGCTAGGCATGCCACAACTCACAAATGTGCAGGTCAGAGATAATTTTCTCTTTTCCTTCTCTTTCTCTCTGTTTTCTTTTTTCAAGACAAGGTTTCTCTGCATAGCCTTGGCGATCCTAGAACTCACTCTGTAGTCCAGGCTGACCTCAAACTTAGAGGTCCTCTGCCTCCCGAGTACTAGGATCGAAGGTGTGTGCCACCACACCTCATGATCAGACAGAATTTTCAGGAGTTGAGTTCCCCTTCCATCATATGAGTCCTGACATCAAACAGGTTGCCAGGCTTGGGGGAAAGCACCTTTACCCACTGAGCCATCTCACCTCCCCTTTGCCCCCTCCCCCAGCCCTGCGAGGCTGGGATTGCTGTCCCACTTCACTGGGGAAGAGCATGGAGGCCCAGAGGGGCCACATCTACTCTCCAAGGTCCACCTTAGGGGAGGCAAATCTGGCCCATCCTTAAGTGCCCATATAGTTCCTATACTTGGGCTTCCTAAAGATTAGGGTTCTGCTTCCCAAATCCACTCTACCCTACCCATGCTGCTGCCTCAACCCAGGTAATACTACTCTAGATAGGCAAAGCTGGGCACAGAGTGAGCAGCCTCTACTGAGGGCATCAGGAGTGCACCCCCCCAAGATGCTACAAAAGTCAGAAACTGGGTACATGGCTGCACCATGGCCCTGGCTGTGCTTTCTTCAATGCTTCTCTGTTCTCAATGCCCTAATCCTCTTCTTCCACCTCTCCATGGTGACATCTCTCCTTTGCACAGCTAAATCCCATACTAGATATGGGAGAGTCAGGCTGAACCCCCACCTAGCAACTTCTGAGAGCCGCAGAGTCCCCAAGTAGGCTAGCCTGGTGTCAGGACCTGAGGGCTGGGGGAGGAAAACTCAGCTCGGTGCTCATCAGACGAGGGTCCATTTCT